AGTTTGATCTTTAATAATAATAATAAATAAATAAAACTCTAAATGAAGCATTTCCCCCCTTGAAATCAGTACTTACAAGAATGTGTATACGCTTCCTTACTTGGTGAAGTAATGCAGGTTTGTTGGGAAAATGTGAGTCTTTTGCAAATGGTCGCAGTCACACTAAATTGTTGTCCTAGACTTGCAATGTTATAACTTATAACGAGCTCATGGTTTGTGATGTATGATACACAATCCGTTAGGCCTCTGCTCAAGATTGGCGCTGGCTGCTGTTACGTTTTGCACTGTCTGTAGTACTGTGGTTGCTATCTTTTATTGTATCATTTTTGTATGGTCTACTAGTGATCAATTTTAGTTTTGTTTTCCAGTCTATTTTTCATTCTTTTCAGCAGTGTGTTTCTGATGTACTGATAATTTAAAATTCCTTTCAAGCTAATATCCGTTTCCTTCCTTCTTTTTCCCAATTTCACTCAGGTGGTATTAAGCGACACAATTTCAAAAGGGGTCCGATGACCCATGGTTCCAAGAGTCACAGAGCTTTGGGATCCATTGGTGCCGGAACAACACCAGGCCGTGTATACAAGGGGAAGAAGATGCCTGGCAGGATGGGTGGGACAAAGACAAAGATCAGAAAGCTCAAGATTGTAAAGATTGATAATGATCTTCGTGTTGTGATGATCAAAGGTGCCCTCCCTGGTAAGCCAGGGAACCTTCTACGAATTGCTCCAGCTAAGATTGTTGGTAAAAACATTCCAAAGAGTTAGCTCTCCCTGTAATTTTTCGTTAATGCATTGCCAATGACAGAAGCCAATGCATCTTTCTTTTGCCTGTTAACATCATTCGGTGCTTCCTTGGGTATTTGCTTTGAATTCACAATTTTGAAACGCCTCAGGGAAGGATGTTTCCTGATTATCCACGCTATTTTGAGATGATAACCCCTTGTTTCTACTCTACTATCATGTGAAGGTAATCAATTTACCTAAATTCAAAATTATAGTCTTGCCAACATTTTTTTTTTTATAACTGCACATGGAGGATTGGCATGACAAAAATGTTTACATTTGGGAAGAAAGGTCACTCTTCATTCCTACTGATCATCAACAATTTAGACAGGTAGTTTACAGGAAAGCCTGGTTTCAACTGTGATGTCGCCCCAGCCGAAGGGGAATCTTTAAGATCAACGGGGTGCGGTAGGTTTATTATTTTCTGCACCTGTTGTGTAAGAGGGGAATAAAGAATGCTGTACCTTCCCTCCAGGTGATACTAGTTTTTTTTTACAACTTCTAACCCGCGTTACGCCGGCGGGCAGCAACCTAAAAAAAAAAACCATAGAGATGTTAGAACGTTAAGAATTTGATATATAATAGAAAAAATCTTTTTAAAATATTAGAGGAGATCATATATAAGATGATTTATTTTTTTTATATTAAGAAGTTGATAGACTAGATTGACCTGGGTCACTTATATATTAATTTATAATTTGGTGTATGAGCTTATAATAATTCTATGAAATTTAAATAAATTAAATTAAAAAGTTTAATTCTAATTAATTAAATATTCAAGACTTTTAAAAAAATCATTTAAAGAGAAGACTTTAAGAAAATACTTAAGCAAATCTAAATTGGTAGCTTATAATATGCCGTCAATCAAACCAAATTAATTCTAACTTAAAAAAGATGATTAAGTGATATAACATAAATTTACTTAAAAACTATTTCACAAAACTTATTTATTTCATATGTTTTTTAATCAAGTATATTTATGTTTCTTTTGAATATATTTTTTTTTAAGATAATAACCAGACATGATATAAAGGAATATAAAGAGTTCGTGAAATTATGATCAAAATATAATGGCTAACCCTTTTTTTTAATTCTAGTTATTGATATATTTCAAAAAAAAATATTTTTTTCATGTTTTTTGAGGGTTAATGAATCTGGATGTTCTTTAAAATTGTCTTCACAATGTCCCTCGTCATTAAAAAAATTTAATCCAAATCTCCAAATCTTATACGGTTGATCCATCCATGTCATTTGTTTCTTGTCACTAATGAAGTTATTTGAATAATAGCAATATCTTATTTCAAATCTGAATAAATAGTGATGTGATTATAATTTTTGAGATTAAAGAATTAAAGATTACTTATTACTAGTTTTTTGTTCTTGCTATGTTATAGGTTAAATTTTTGTTAAATTTTTTAAAAATTAAAGATATTAGAAAGTCAAAAAATCTACATTGATAGAAACATTTTTAAAATATTTAAATTGTAACATTTTAAATAATATATTTTCTTTAAAAAAATTTGAGATGATAATACATTAAATCTAGATAGACAAACTATGGTTAACTTGTGAAACTTGTAATTTGAGATATGAGATCATAATAAAACTATGGAACCAATATCAAAACAAATTAAAAAACTCAATTATAATGAACCAAATATCAAATGTTGTAAGCAAGTAAAAAAATTAAATTTAAAAAAACCTAAAAAAATAATATAACATTGTAAATCGGGCAAGATTTTCCTAAATGTCAGAACAAAAATAGTTCAAGTGATGCTAGAATTTTCTAAGAAGTAAAAAAAATTTGATACTCTAATCATTGAATCGACTAGATTTAATAAGTTTGATTAATGTTTGGTTAATCTAATAATATATATATATATATATATAGCAAATCTAATTTAATAACATGAAAAACCAAGTAACCCCGAGCAAATATTGTAAACCTAAGTTAATATTTCAAATTCACAATCCATGAAATCATGGACATGAATTCAATTAAGAAATGCAATTCTCAACTAATTTAATATTAAAAAATAAAATAAAAAAACTCTTAATCTAAAAGATTTAGTATCAAATCAGAAAGAAAAAAATGAAGGGTGAAATTAAAAAAATCAAATTAAAAAACTATCTCAAATAAAAAAATAGCAATCAAAATAATGATGATCAAATCTGAGAGACTAAAAAATTAAAGAAGGATGAAACTAAGAAAAAATTTTAATTTTTAAAATTAATCACAATAAAAAATAGAAATAAGAAAAGAAGGGAACAAATAAAAAAAATAAACTTAAAGGGCTAATCTGCATATTTCAAGGGCAAAATGTAGATTTCTAGGAGGAGAAAAAAGAAGAAAAAGAAAATGTTGTTGGCATCAAATTAGAGGTTTATTAACTATATACGCTACCTAATGAAAAAAAAGATATTGAGACCAAATAAATGATATGGTAGAACAATAGTTTTGATCACTAGAGATAGTTATATGTGTCATTCAAGGACATAAAAGTAATTAATGAGTGTACATATTTTTCAATAACTTTCATGATTTTATTTATTTATTTATTAAAATACCACATTTTATTTATGATCAAATAATTATTATGAAAAAAATATTGTAAAATAACAAATAAGTCTATGTAGTAAATTTTTAAGAATCTTAATTTTAAAGGAAATAAAGTCATTAGAACATGTTTCAAAAAATAAAATATCATAAAAGCTCCTAGATTGTAGTTAAATATTTTTAAGAGAAATTAAGTAATTTAATTGTTAAAAAAAATATGAAATGATCGAGATGCCTTTAAATAATTATAAAATGACAATTGTATCTTGTGAAAATATTCTTGTATCTTAAAAAGATAATTATTTGTGATTTTTTTTAATGGTAAAAACATAAATTTATTGTTTCATTCGGCCTATTATACAATAATTTTTCTCTATTAATTTAAGTATTCTTTTGAAACTTATAAGGAAAAAAAATTGAAAAAGTAAAATTTGTTGTCTAATACAAAATTAGTAAAATCTTTGGACTAAAATATATTTATAAGTTTGTGTGTGATGAATATATGTGATTGTGTGAGTATATTACCTATATTAAATTATGAATATATCAAAACTCAACTAGATTCATTTGCAACTTTTTATTATTTTGATTAATATTGGTGTTTGGATCAGTTTATACACATCTCAATTAATTCAATAAGTTTTGAAGTTAATAATTATATAAGTTTATAATGGCTTTGAGGTTTGTAGAATTTAAACTAATAATTTTAAAAAAACAAAGCTAACAACTGACTAGTGATTTATTTGCAACCTTGGTTACAAGAAGAAAAACATAAGTTAGTAAAATTTAGTTTTTATTTAAAGATTTATGTGCCTAATTAGAAAATATAGGAACCAAAATGTACTTGCAAGTTTTCGTAATCTAAAATAGAATTTTAGAGTAAAGAATATGTAACATAAATATTTAGGTTACAAAGAATTATTTTGTATTATTATTAAATATGATATATTAGATAAATTTTAAAACCTCTTAATTCGACTTTTTATCTAACTCAGATATAATATCAAACTATATAGGAGTTATCCTAACATGACTCGGTTGATTTCAGTAGTCCAACAACAATTTGACCAACTTAAAAAAAAAATTAAGTATGAAATTAACAGAAAAAATTCTTGACCCATTTGTGTAGTTTGTTTTAAAATTAAATCATGAGTTATTTTTACATTATTTAATTAACCTAATTAAATCAGAAGTAACTTGAATAACTATTAAAAAACTTTGGGGAATAATTTTTTTTAAATGAAAGCATAAGAAAAATAAAAGGAGGGTTGAATTGAAAAGTAAAGCTTTATGAAAAAAATACAAATTTATTAAAAAATAATAAAATTAAAAAATGAAAAGGAAAATTAGAAAGATGGTTGAATTGAAAAAAAAAGGAGTTAATTGTTGAAATAAATTCACAAATAATCCTAGTTTATTTAGGGCATGTTTAGAAGTATTTTTAAATGTTATTTTTTAAAATATTCTTAATTTAAAAATATAGCAATACTTAAAATATTAAAAAAAATCTAAAAAAACTTAATTTAAAAATAAAAAAAAATTACGGTGATATTGCAATAATAACAAACAAAGCGTTTTTAACATATGAGTTGAAAAGTTGAAAGTTTAATAAAATAGCCGAGGTCAAACTCGTCCATCTACCATTAGGCTCTCCACTTTTTTTTTTTTTTTTTTTTTTTTTAAATACAGAAGCCGCCGCCTGGCTTCATCACACACAGACACAGTTTAACTCACTGCTTTCGCGGATTCGCTAAACAACTGAAAGAACACACACACAGTGTAGGCGTGCACTCACCTCGCCGCCGCACTACTGATTTCTTCGAAAATTGTAATACACTGAAGAATGGGAATACCAGCATTCTATAGATGGTTAACGGAGAAGTATCCGCTTATAATTGCCGACGTCATGGAAGAAACGCCGCTTTTAATCAACGGCGTTTCTGTCCCACTCGACACTTCCTGCCCTAACCCTAACGGTATCGAGTTCGATAATCTCTATCTTGACATGAATGGAATCATTCACCCTTGTTTCCATCCCGAAGGACTGGTATTTTTCTTTTTTTCTTCATTCCTTTTTTCATTAATGACATGCTCTTTTATTTTAATTATTTATTTATTTATTTTTTGTGTGTAATTAACAACAGCCGCCTCCGACTACATACGAGGAGGTTTTCGCTGCGGTTTTCAAGTACATTGATAGGATCTTCTCCATTGTCAGGCCTCGAAAACTCCTTTTCATGGCTATTGGTAATTCTTTGGAATCGGATACATACAGATTGTTGTCGTCGTCGTCATGATGTTCTTAAATTTATTTGTTGTAATAATATTGATTACTTTAAACACAGATGGTGTTGCTCCACGAGCTAAGATGAATCAGCAGCGGTCGAGGCGTTTTAGGGCTGCTAGAGATGCTGCTGATCAAGTGAGATAGTCTTTGTAAATTAGTTGTTCAGCATTTTAAGATACTTAGGGTTTTGTCCTTTTCTTTTGGAGAAAAATGAAAATTGAGGTTTTGTTTGCGCTCAGGCCTTATCTATAGGGACGGATGGTGGGATTGTCCCTGAATCAGAAGAAGGGAACTTGGAGCAAGTGAAGAAACTTGACTCGAATGTAATTACACCTGGAACTGAGTTTATGGATTTGTTGTCGTCAGCTCTTCATTATTACATACGCTTGAGGATGAAAGATGATTTGGGATGGCGAGGAGTAAAGGTAAATGAAAATTCATGAGCATGGGTCCCCTCCCTATCTCCCTTTCTCTCATTTACGTTACAAGTGAGAGCATGTGATTCTTGTTAGGTCATTCTTTCTGATGCTAATGTGGCCGGTGAAGGAGAGCATAAGATAATGTCATACATCCGCTTGCAAAGGAATCTACCGGGTTTTGATCCAAATACACGGCATTGTTTATATGGATTGGTAAATTCCTTTGTTTGTCCATGTTTAAAATGAGTTTGACTTTATTCCTGGCTGGTCCTATAATTCCTTCGTATCATATGTGTTATTTTAGGATGCGGATTTGATTATGCTCGCGTTGGCTTCTCATGAAATTCATTTCTCGATTCTGAGAGAGGTTTTGAACTGAACTTGTTGATTAAACTGTATTATACATGCTATTAGATGTTCTCACAATGATGTGGAAGAACACATTCTGGCTGTATCTTACCTCTTTGCTGGACAGGATCTTGGAAATGCAAGCACAGGCGGTAAATCTTTGAAAGAAAAACATAGACTAATGAAGCGCCGAAAATTAAATGGGGATTCAGAGCAAGTAGGAAAGTTTGCTGAGAATATAGAAAAACATATCTCGGGGATGAAGTTTCAGGTCATTATTTCTCTACTGTTGTTTGACTTTCTTCATGACCTAATGTCTTGAGTTTAACCCTTAGAATTGTTCTTGCCTCACGGTTTAGCAAAATGAACTGCAAAAATGAGGTTACTTTTTTCATTTATTTTCTTTCCCTAGTGAATGAGAAACACACCAAGGAGTTTATAGAAATGAAAAGCCTATGTAGTTGGTCACATATTACCTGTGCAGGTTAGATAAGCAACTGGTGGTTTTAGAGCATGGAATCATTAACCAGATGTCCTAAAAACAGTCATTATGCAAGTACCTAACAATAGGTAAATTAGAGCATGAGTTAGGTTTACGTAGAACAGAAACTGTTGATTTAGAAACATAATGTTTGAAGGAGAACTAATTTGAGCTAACTCTTTTATTTCAGTTTTGCTTTATATGAATGGTGTATTGTGATACTGTTGTAATCAGTATTCTAATTTTTATTTCTTTAAAGTTTCTCACCAAATTCTTGACTTCATTCTATTACAGTTTCTCAATGTTTGGATCTTGAGGGAGTATTTAGCATATGATTTGAGAATACCAGACACAACATTGAAAGTAGACCTGGAGCGTGTGATTGATGATTTTGTCTTCATGTGTTTGTTTGTTGGAAATGATTTTCTGCCACACATACCATCACTGGAGATATCCGAGGTTGAGGAATTTAACAACCCTTTTGTTCTTTTAGAAAACATGATTTTTGCTTTGGAGTTGTTATTTTATTCCTATATTGGTACCCTGATCATGTATCTGCGTCTCACTTATACATAAGTAGTGCATTGAACCTTTGTGATTTCTGTATATATGCCAAAAAGACAAACAATGGTGTTGCTATTGAATCTATCTTTAATGATGCAGACCAAAAAAAAGCAGAAGGTTCATTGCTTTTTTAATGTGATTTTGTAGACAAGGGTATTTTTGTAATTTCCATATTTGGTAAATTATCTAGGTCTAGGCTCTTATTTTACATTTTAGTGAGGTATTGGTCTCTAATATTTTTTTTGATGAATATTCTTTAATTAATTGAATTTAATATAGGAATTTATCTTTTCTTATTTTAGGATTATGAATCCATTCAAGTAAAGCTTTAGGAGTGTGTTGAGTGTGAAAATAATTGGGCTTCTAATGCTTTATTTTGATAATGCAATATTTTTTGAAGAATTTCTAGCAATTTTGCTTTGTGATTGTGTGATACAATCTCCACTAAGTGTGACTACTAGGTGTCTGATGCGCTTTGTGATTGTGTGATACAATCTCCACTAGGTGTCTGATGCAGAGAAAATCCTATAAGGTTTATTTTTTTAAAGGCTAGGACTTGAATTTATTTCAGGCTTTGCTTTTAGTATTTAAGGGCTGCTACTGCTCCAATAAATTATGATTTGATTTTTTGAGATGTTTAGAAGAAAGTCTCATTTTTTTGGCCATGCAGTACAGATAACCAGCCTTTGGGTGTGTTTGATATCTTTTGCATTTTTATCCTATGTTAGTGTAACTCTTTGAAACTTTCTTTACATCCTTTGACAATTCCAGAAATCAATCGTCCTTATTGTAACCATCAAACAACCTTCATTGACTTTCTAAACATCCACACATTCATAAGTCAATCCTACAACTATTAGCCACTAAAATATCAACCATTTCCCCAAAATCCCTATTCATGTAACTGTAAACAGCCCCTCAGATCAGCCATAAGCTATCCTGCAACACTTAAGATTAGAATCATTCTTGTCCAATGGTTCACTTTCAAATATTGCAAAGTTAAGTAGTGGTTAATGGCATCAATTATTGACACTGGAGAATCATGTGTTTGACATATTACCATGTTGGAGAGCAAGCACATTCATTTTTATAGAGCTTTTAGCTAATCTGTATAATATCATTGAATATGACTTGTGAACTTAATCCTTGTTTAATGCAGTTAATTAAAAGAGATTAGGTGCTAGAAGATAATATGGGAAAGTTTTGAAATGATTTTAGTGCGTGTTAGGCTTGTAGGATCTTTGGTGATTTCAGGAGCTAGGGCTAACTGCAGATTTGATTTGTGGTTGAAATTAAAGGGAAAAGGTGTAGGAAACTACTAGCCTTGCACTGGTATTAATGAAAAATAACTCTGTAAGGAAGCCTCATGCCATATTATGCTTATTCTATTTGCTTTCAATTCAAGCAAGTGGCTCCAACATCGTTCATAAAATTTGCTTTGGAATTTGGAGACTAGAAGCCTATTTATAGACTTGAAAATAGTTCTATGCTTATGAGACTTGGTTTCGTAATAATAAAACGTAATTATTCCTGTGTATTCATAAATCTAAGGAAAGACAAATAATTCACCTATTACTGAATCAACTTTACTAACAACATGTAGCCCAAATCAACATTGAAAGTAGCTTAATGGAACTAGTTTCACTCTCCCATCAAACAAAAGCCTGAAGTTTATGAATTTGCCTCACATGCTCTGCTCAATTTAAGTTGATGCCAATCATTAAATTTCTGTTCTCATGTTGAATCCCATATTTGTATTTTTGTGGCTTTGTTTATTGTTTAACTGATGTTTCCAACTTTGATAGGGGGCTATCGATTTGCTCATGGCAGTTTACAAAAAGGAATTTGCTCAGATGGGTGGTTACCTAACAAATTCCTTTGAGGTGAAGAATTAGACACTTCTGTGTTTTTCAATTTTTGGTAACTTGTTGTCACAGAGAATGGATGATTTGTCATTTACTTTATTTTTGAATCTAAGCTACAACAAAAATTCGGTGTTTATGCGATATTAGTTTTCAGCTTGCGGCATTGCAAATTAAAATTTTAAAACTTTTAAAATTATCAGTTCAATTTAAATAATTAATAATAATTGTCACCAATTTCAATTTTCATTCACCACAAAAATTTCACTTTCACTTACATTCATGTGTAGTATAAATCTTTTTGTTGTCAAATGTAATATAATGAGCTAGATGTTGCTTATGTGATTACATTTAAATGAGAAAATAGAAGACATAGCTGAAGTTGATAAATTTAATGAACTAATGAATGGAGCCCATACAATGGATGCAATTAAAGAAGTTATTAAATGTTATATAAAATTTTATGATCTAATTGAAATTTGTCTTTAAAAGCTCAATTATGTTGAAGGCTAAAGTCGAAGGGCTAACTAACCAAACCTAAATTGAAGAACTGAATTATTCTTCTTCTTGCACACCTAAAATATTACTCTTCTTGATGTGTCAAGTGAAAGTCATCCAGCCTCATTCTGCAGACCAATTCCAAATAACAGTGATTAAGGTGTAATTTTTTCTATATACTGTCTCAACCAAACAAGAAAAGAAAAGGAGAAGGCATCATTAGCTGATGCGTGGAGAGAGAAGAGGCAACATAAACCTCCACTATCCAACTTTAATGTTTGTATAGATCATATTTGCTGATGCAGATGCTTGGTCTTTCTATGATGTGGCTTGTTAACCCATACTTGAGATATTGAGCACATAAATATATTTCTTCCTCTGCTATTTCTTGCTAACTTATTACAATTATCTTTTACTACCTTTCAGATCTTATCTTTTATTTCTAACTTTAATTGGTCTGGAAGCCTCAAATATTGAGATGGTAATGCAAAGTATAAAACACTTTTTGTACTAGCTGATTCACTAACAAATTTGGCATATATAATACAAGAAAGTTTTTAGGTCAAGGTGATGTGGCTTTTAGCACTCATGTGACTTACCCTTAATGAAATAAACAAGTTAGCAGAGCACTTAACATACATATATCAAATCAGTTAAAAAGGTAGCTAGCATCTCTAGCATTATCCTTGGATTATTTCATAATAGAATGATATGGAGCAAGAGCAATGTGATTTTTGTACAGGACACCCATTATTCAGTCAGTTTTCTATAAGAAACTTGAAGTTAGGATGAGAGACCATTGGAAAGAAGCTTCCAATTTTTTTTAGAGGGCTTGATAATTTTTAAAGGAAGTAAAGCTCAGTACAGGAGACACTGTTATTTAGGGTTTCTTGCTCTATTCTTCAGTACTATTTAACAATATACAATTTTTTTTATATACTTTGCTGTTTATATTGTTTTAGGCTGTTGAAGAACTGTTATGAAAATTGTGGTCTTTCAAGTCACTTGACCTTTTTAATTGTCATTGTTTTCTTATTTAATTGGTAGATTCATCTTAATCGAAGTGAAGATGAATGAAACTGCTGAAGGCTCTCTGCTATTTATGGTCTATCACCTCAATTGCTTTAAAAATGTCAACTGCCATTAAAATAATTGATATAGTTTGTTTATTAATTAATTGTTGTAGATTGTTGAAGATCTAATCTGAAAATTGTAGCCTTGAAATTCAATTGACATCTTTGTTCTCTTGTCTCAATTTGTTCTCTTATTTATTTGGTAGATAAACCTGATTCGTGTGGAGCACTTTGTTCAAGCTCTGGGTTCTCATGAAAGCGCAATCTTTAGAAGACGCAACCAGGTATCATTAAATGACTTGTTTCTTTTCCTCTTTTTGTGGCGTACTTTTTCTAAAGTTTCTCATATGCAAAATAGAAGCAATGGGTTCAAACTATAAGATTGCAATTCTAATTTGTTCATGAAAAAAATCAAGGGATTGGGAGGGCTGCCATTCCTAGTTCTTGATTTTTTTTTTGTCTCCATTTCAGCATTTTTCTTCATGCAAGTAGTCGTCTATTGTTTGCTAATTTACTAGTATATTAGTGATTTGTTCATAGTGTTCTTGCATTCAAATCACAACAAAAGCCCGTAGAGATACAAATCACAGATATTTTTAAATGTCCTCCATATCAGTATTAAGCTTATATCTAATATAGTTACTGTTCAATATTGTATTAAACATGCCATAAAAAATAGGCATAGCTTTCTACACATTCTTGATGTGGGATGACATAAACACAAAAGGATGTGTTTGGGCTAAATGAGGGTACACTTGGCAACACTATCAGAGTCAGATTTACATTTTTACAATGATATATATGGAATATAATTTTTTGGGTTAAAATCTTAAGAACCTGAATTTTTATTGAAAATATTCCCTTTGTTGATTGATTTTTGTGGATGACTATTTTATTGGTACAATTGACATGCATGCCCTGTACGTTCCAAATGACTAATCAGTGGAGGATTTAGAACGAATTCTAGGATTAAAATTAGTGATCAATATTTTTGTTACTTTTTAAGGTTTTTATATTTTTTAGTTAAGTAGTCAAAGTTGCTTTTATTGGGAATTTGGTTCAATTTCCTTTTTGCATGGTTCTACTAAGTTTTATTTTTCCCATTCCTGTTGGGTTTGAGTTTGCTACTTTCTATTTGCTTTGGAGACTTTATATAGTTCCCTAGTTAGAGATTCAAGTTGAGCTATGACTATTTAATTGATAAAATAAATTAAATCTAGTGATTGGTGCTTCCTTGGTTCTTTGTGTTGCTTCCTTTATCACTAGGTTTTGTGTTGATTAGCCACTAAAATTTATTTGATTGTCCTTTAGAGGACAACAGCATTGACATTTTGGTAATCATACTACCTAGCAACTTGATGACGTAATTTTTAGACTTTAAAATCAAATTGTATTTTGTGTGATAAAATTGCATGGTCAATAAAAAGAATTTGATATTCTGAATGTACTCTTACAATATAATGGATCTGTTCATATAATTTTTGTTGCCTTACTGATTGCCTATTCCAATTATATATGCATTATTCATCATAAATGTGTCGCTTTTTAATGTCTACTGTACTTTTTCCTACTTCTTAACTATGTTTCTTTCTGGTATTCAGTCATAGTGTTTTAGGAACTGCATATAGAATCAATATCCCTATTATGTTGGTATCCTGGATTAATAAATCCTACCATGCCTGTATTTCACATGATATGTGTTTTGCCCAATAGCTAGGATCTTGAGATAGTAATTCTAAGCAACATCCATTGTCAGATGCAAAAGGAAAGAGAGATACGTTTCCAACGCATATCAAAACGTCCGCAAGCATTTCATTCATCAAAATCATTGTTTGATGATGGTGTATCTGAAAGTTGCAAATCTTCTGTGAAGCTGGAAACAGCTCCTCTCAGTCAAAATCGACAAAATGTGAGTGCTTTGTTTACATAATCTAAATATTGTTGCAGTTTCATTTCACGTCTCATGGGATATCTTTTTTCTTGATAAGCAACTGGGAGTTTAGTGTATTTTTATTAACATTATTGCAGCCCCGAAGCATGGCCATTAAGGAATCAAACCACTTCTCCTCCAATGGCACAAGTGCTGTGGTTGACAAGGTCTGTGGTTAAGTTTGTATATCTTGCCTTGAGCTATGCAAGGTAGTATAGGTTTCCTGGTTTTTCTGATTTATTCTTGGTTACAGATTAAATTGGGAGAAGAGGGTTGGAAGGAAAGATACTACGCAGAAAAGTTTGAGGCAAAGAGTGAAGATGAGCGTGATACCATTAGGAGACATGCGGTACATGGTTTAATGTTACTGTTTTCTATTGTAGGAGTGGTATGTGCAGTATTTCACATGTAAAAACTGGTCTCCAGTGCGACTGCCCTTTGAAAGATGCACTGTTTTGGGTTCGACAAGACGACACCAACCCAGAACCATGAGGCCTCAAAATACATGGTCACCAATTTGATGCCATAGACAGATTTGGAAACCAAACACACCCAATGCCAGAGTTTTGGAGAAACAACTACGGGCTTTTTCCAAACCATGGTTTTGGAAAGAAATGCTAACAAGACTCTATATCACATAAATGCCTTTAGGTTTCATTCTTGTTTTGACTACAAGGAAATGATTCTTCTATCATTATTGCCAACTTACTGGCTTCTTCTCACTCCCTTTTCCCCTCCACTTGTACCTTCTGTTTCTATCCTGCACAACTTTTAAATTTGTTCTAATTAGGCTGGGTTGTAATTTTACAGTGTTGCAATTCCTGCAGGTTTTGAAATATGTAGAAGGGATTTGTTGGGTTATGCATTACTACTATGAAGGAGTCTGCTCCTGGCAATGGTATGTGGTGCATTCTCTTATGCTATTGTAAATTTAAGTGATAATTACCTCTCTTTTTATTTACTTGTTGTCTTCAAAAAGTAAAATGTTGAAAGCTGGATCAGTTAAGGGGCCCTAGCTTAGGGTTGATGTTTTACTTGTGAAGTCAGTCATCAAAGAACTATGACATCATGGAGTCATACCTCCCTTTTTTCCTGAGTTACAAAAAACCAGGAATAGCCTAATCCTTTTAATATCTAAGTAAGCACATTAGAAGTAGGGACTGAGAGACATCAGACGAAAGTAGTTTCAGTTATATGGATTCATATCTAATTTTTTTTTTGTCTCCAGGTAAATGTGCATTCATTTAACTTCAGAAGATTTCACTACCACTTACTGATTTATTTTATTTTATTTTAAAAGATGACAGTCAAAACTTTTAGGTTGATATAATATGAGGAAATCTTGCTGGTGGCAAGTGTTATGCTTTTTTCATGTAAAATGGTCCTTTTAAAAATAAAATGCCCATGGTTCTTGAACTTGGAACCTCATCTAGGCATTGATAGAGTGGATTGCACCTATCATGACACTAACTGGTGCTAACTTTTTTGTTCCCTGCCTCCATAACTGACATGGATCTTTTGAGCTCAAGTAGCTTGGCTCTGGATAGTTGTAGGATATGAATGCTTTAGCTTTGACCAATACCTAAATTCACTGTTTATAGGATCTCTTTGTCTTAATTTCTTATGACACAGCATTGTATTCCTTTTCCAAGAACGCTCAAAGTTGAATTTTGATCACCTCAACATTTTTATGTGAAGGTTCTACCCTTATCATTATGCACCATTTGCCTCGGATTTCTATGGCTGTGATCAGTTAGAAATTCACTTCACACTTGGGGAACCTTTCAAGCCATTTGATCAATTAATGGCAGTGTTGCCTGCTGCGAGGTTTTCAATCTTAACCATTTTCCTTTCTCTTGTGCATTTGGTTTACAGTCAGTAGTTGACACAATTGCTGTGCTCGAAGTGCACATGCTCTTCCTTTGTTTTACAGGAAATTGATGATGGATGCATCATCACCAATATTGGATTTTTACCCTACTGGTATAATCATTGCTCAAGACTTATCTTTCTTACATCACCATCATTAGTAAATCCCAAAATTATTACAGGTTATTAATCTTAAAATTTCTTGGCAGATTTTGAGCTTGATAATAATGGGAAGCGTTTTTCCTGGCAGGTATTTGTTATTTCTGGATTCTTCTTTGAACTTTGAGTTGATATAAATTTTGTTCTCTGATGATTAAAGTGCATATGTTGATGCAGAACTTTTGCATGCTTATGTGTACTTGGTTTTCTCTCATATAATTATGGATTTCAATGATGCTCCTCTTGATGTTATATCTTTTCCTTTGAAATTTCCAGGCTATTTGCAAATTACCATTCATCGAAGAGTCCCGCCTTGTTTCAGAGATCACAAAAGTGGAGCACACATTGACAGTAATTCCTTTTTCTATAAGTTAGCATTAGTCACAGGCGCTAGATGTATCAGTGTGTTGGTTGGTGTCATATATTTCTGATTTTTATGACTCATGGGTATCATTTGATAATTCAATTTGCCATGTTACTTTAGATGTACCTTTGTTGCCCCTGACAGAAGCCTGTATTGCCTATTTTGCTCTCGTATACCCGTAATAAGTTTGTACACCTACCAGAATCAGAAATTTTAGAAATGAGGGGTGCAAGACTGATATATTGAGTGTTCAATGTGGCTAGTCCGACTTCCTTCTGATGTCAATGCAGCAAAAGAAAAAAGATAGCCTGAAGATGTGTGGTATGTGGTAAAATAACAATATAAATCTCCACTTTTTGGCTGGAGATACTCATTCAGTGGCAATTTGATGTATGGGCATATCAGATTTTTATTATCCTTTCTGTTATCAATTTATCTCCAGCAATGATGTTGCAAATTCATTGCTCTTCTAGCATTGCTTTTATTAGAGAAAATATGATTTTTGGTTGCTAAATTCTACTTATTCACATTTCTGAAAAGTTCTTACTGATGATATTTATAATCAGGATGAAGAGAGACGGAGAAACCGTTTGGGTTATGATGTCCTGTGTGTTCATATTTCACATCCTTTGGCAGTTAAGGTAATTTCTATGTTCAAGTGCAAAGATCAGCCAGCTCTGCCAACAGCTAATGGAAAATTGAAAATTGACCCAAAAATCAGGTGTGTAAATGAGGCCTCCCTGAAAAATTTTGAGGCGGCCTTTTTTTTTTTAATTAATTATCAAGTCTCTGCTATTTTGAAAATAGCATTGTAAAAATTTATCATGGTGTTCGTGACTATTAAATTTTGTTGTTGCTTGGCCATTGTCTTCTCAATTAGTTATATGTCATCATCAATTTCTATCTCATTTCCTCCCGTAGAAGTCCATGCTTATGTGGAATAGAAATATTCAGCGAATAATATAAAAATGAACTCTGAACACAGTATCTTTGAGATTTTCCATGAAGTAATAACAGCTGATAGTTGATGAATAAAATTTTATTATCTTCAAGCTCAGTTTTTTGGTTCTATATGTTTCCAGCCTTTTCAGTATGGGAGTATGGGAGCTGTGCAATCTGATCCATAGAAACATTGAAAAAACATGCTAGAAGTTGGTTTCATGAAATGTATTGAATAGATAGAAGAGATAACATTACTAAATTGCTGGCAAGGAACCTTGGTTTTTTTATTCCTAACTTTTCATCTCCTCGCCAACAGCGCCCTTACTAATTAAACGAGAGATAAATTAATTGTCTCAAGTACTTCAGACTGTTTGATATACACAGTAAGTGCATTGAAATTTTCTTGTTGAACCAAATAACTCCCCATATCCAGCTCACTTGTTTTCTATCCATTGCTGGAATTTATTTATCCTGTCAGTTTGGTTCTGATTTTTGTGATTATATTTTCTGCAGTATGTATTTCTTTTGCTGTTCTTTGTTTCGTATCACTGGAGCATGTAGCTAGTGATTATTTGCTTGTTTTTTGAGGTCCTTGTAGAGAAGTGATTATTTACTCTTTCCAAGGTCCCTTATGAAATTGTTTTGCTTACGGCAAGGTATTTTCTCATTAATTATGTAGTGGTGGAATGAATGGATACATTTACATTTCTGAGAAACCTGAATGGCCTCTCGGGATATTTTCACCAATTGATGGCATGCTGATGATAGCGAGTGAACAAGCGATGTAAGTTTCTAAACAACATGATGTTTGCTTTGCTCACAAACTGTTTGTCATCTCTTGCAATAGTTATTTCTTTTCTTTATTGCAGATCAGTGTTCTATGAATACCCTCCATTTCATTCCCATATTCCAAGGCTACCAGAAGGAGTTATCTTGCCTAACAAGGTAATAGTTTTTCTTTTTGATATTTTCTGTTATGAAAAATTGAAATATAAAAGACTGAAGGTGGCCTGCCCTAATTTCTTTACCCGGGTGATTGTTACTACACTGTAGATGCTTATTTTTTTTTTCCCTGTTCGCAGTCCGTGACCAAGTGCAATATTTTGCATGCACATCATTTATGGCATGAACCAGCTATTCCTGGTTCTATATCTTCTAAAAGGTAAACTTTCCTTCCATGCCATAAACATCAGTGCCAACTCCAGTTCTCAAGTGTTTCATGAAATGATCAATTATGATCTTAGTGTAGTCCAAATTGAAAATTTTATATCGGGATAAAAGTTTAGAGGCCTCCTTAATGATGCTAATTGGTTTGCTAAATATTGTAAAATTGTTTGTAGACAAATCCCCAAGTCTATCTCAGGCCCTCAACTGGCAGAATTGGCTCATCGACTTGTGTCAGAATATAGTTCTTCAAAGCAACTGGACTTCCGCAGATGTGCTGAACGTGGGTTACCTCTGGATGCTGCTAGAATGGGAGAAATGAGAACACAAGTCCAGCCCAAGAAAAGGAAACGAGGTAAACACAATAAAAACTGCCTTGATGGTAGCTCTAAAGAAAGTCAAGGGGGTAAAGGTGATTTTGTCCCTATCAACAATGTCAAGAATATGGAGAGTTCTACTCTCAGGCAACAGGGGGAAAGCTGTGGTGGTTATGGCAGTGATGGAGTGGATGAAATTAAAATAGAAAAATCTAAAAAGAGGAAAAGGAGTTCTAATAACAGAAAACATGAGGAAGGTGCTGTTATACACGATGGTGTTCAGAAGCTGGAAAGAAGCATTCAAGAACAGAGAAACAGTGATCATACTTCTGGAGGTGTAGATGGAGAAAATGATTACAAAGAAGAAAAATCTAGGAAAAGAAAATCCAGAAAAAGAAAACAAAGAAATAAGAAAGGGAATCAGAATGATGGTGATGCTGTCCAAAACAAAAATGCTGAGAAATTGGGGTGCTGTAACCACCACATCAGCGAACAACAAAGTTGTGTTCTTCAGGAGCAGAGCGGAGGGGATGTTCGTGCAGTTGGAGATGTGTCATTGGAGTTGAAAACAGAGGTGGAATCCAAGAAAAGGAGAAAGATCGAAGCTGATGGCGTCCTAATTGACAATGTTGAAAAATTGGAGAGTTGTTTTCTCATGGAACAAAGAGGACGTGACAGTAACCACACAAATGCTTATGGATTGGATGCAACCAGTAAGCCTGTCCCAAATAACAATCATCTGGAATTGGAGGATGGGGCAGTGGAATTGAATAAAGAGTTGAAATCCAAAAAAAGGAAACGAAGATCTAAGAAAAGGAGAAAGATTGAAGCTGATGGCGTCCTAATTAACAGTGTTGAAAAGTTGGGGAGTTGTTCTCCCATGGAACAAAGAGGAGGTGACAGCAAACTCACAGATGCTGATGGATTGGACTCAACCAGATTGCCTGTCCCTAATAAAATCAATCAGGAATTGGAGGGTTCTGGTCTTCAGGAACAGATAGAACACTTTGACCATTCAGGTGCAAATGAAGTGGAAATAAAACCAGAAGTCAAATCCAAAAGGAAGAAACGGAGGTCCAAGAAAAAGCAGCAGATGGAGCTTACTGTCCCAGCTAATGATCCTGTAAACTTGCAGTCTGGTCTTCCTGGAAAACAGGGAACTTTCGACAGCAACCATATAGGTGTGGGTGGGTTGGAAATGCTGATGGATTGGACGCAACCAGTATCTGTCCCAAATAACAATCATCAGGAATTGGAGGATGGGGCAGTGGAATTGAAAAAAGAGTTGAAATCCAAAAAAAGGAAACGAAGATCTAAGAAAAGGAGAAAGATTGAAGCTGATGGCGTCCTAATTAACAGTGTTGAAAAGTTGGGGAGTTGTTCTCCCATGGAACAAAGAGGAGGTGACAGCAAACTCACAGATGCTGATGGATTGGACTCAACCAGATTGCCTGTCCCTAATAAAATCAATCAGGAATTGGAGGGTTCTGGTCTTCAGGAACAGATAGAACACTTTGACCATTCAGGTGCAAATGAAGTGGAAATAAAACCAGAAGTCAAATCCAAAAGGAAGAAACGGAGGTCCAAGAAAAAGCAGCAGATGGAGCTTACTGTCCCAGCTAATGATCCTGTAAACTTGCAGTCTGGTCTTCCTGGAAAACAGGGAACTTTCGACAGCAAACATATAGGTGTGGGTGGGTTGGAAATGAAAACAGAAGTCTAACCCAGGAAGAGGAAATGCAGAGCAGAAAATAGGAGACAGAGCAGGTGACATTGTCTCAAATTATGGTTTTGAGAACTTGGATCGTCTTTTTCTTGGTAAACAAGGAAGAGATGGTGATCATGGAGGTGCAGGTGTGGTGGAGGAAATGAAAACAGGGAACAGGTTCAGAAATATGAAAAGATCAAGATGACATGCATTGAAGATGATGGTGCCCCAAATATTACTTTCTGTAATTGAACAGTATTATTCCGAGGAACAGGTCGGAGAAATTGAGATATTTGATTTTGCGTCTTCATGGCAAGGCAAACCTCTGTAGGCTTCGAAGGAAATAAAGAAGAGAAGGGTGGCCTCATTTCAAAATTGCAACATTAATCTCGTTCAAATTATAGCTTTAACTTTGTTGTTCAAAGTAGCCTTGTAATTCTTCGAGAGAGTCATTGCAATTGTTTTTTAAAATGTTTTTTTTATTTAAAAATACATTAAAATAATACATTTTTATTTAATCGGTGACACAGTTTGATAAAATCAAAGGCGTCTTGCTGAACAGGACTACAGGCATAAGACGCGGCGGTGAAACAACATTTGCCGCATGGTATAAGTAAGCTCTCTAGTGATTTTCCTGCATGCTTCCAAGGCCTCGAAAGTCTCGAAGCGTGTCATTTGCCAAGTTAAAAGGTTTAGAGGAGAAACCCCTTGTTCTAAAACTAGATTTGAACAACCCGTTAAAAGCAGAGGAGCACCCAACCATTTTTGACTTATCGACAGGACAAGCAAGGCAACAACCATTGAAACAGCAAGTGCAAATACCTACACGAGACTTGGAAAGTTGAAACAGTCTTGAATCTTTTTCTACCATAGCAACAGCAGGGTGGTGATGCCAGAAGCTGTGCTGCTGCCAGCTTTGATGTTGTGGGAGAAGAGAACTTGGGTGGGCTGTAGGAGTCCTTGGATGTGCTAAGGTTGTCCCCATCTCCCTGTCTATGCATGTTTGGTATTCCGGTTATCTGGTGTCAAAAACTATCAATCGATAAAGAGTCAGTGCATGGTAATTCCTAGGGATTGGCATAGTGATTAAGAGCAAGTTATTAAATTGACTCTTACTAGAGTTTGAGTTTGAGTTGTAACCTAAATTAATCTTGCATTAATTAAAATAATATTATTTAAATATTTAAAAAAAAAATTAAATTAGATTTTAACTAAGTGGACGGAGCTGTGAGTTAGGCTCCGTTTGTTTGCAGGAAAGTTGTTTTTTTTTGGAAAATGAATTCTGAAAAAGTGAATTCTTTTTTAGTTTTGATTTATTTTCTATACATATCATTTAAAGGTAAGTGAGTTATCTATCACTATTAGATACATATATAATCCATTCTAATTAACATTGATAATCATGATGGTCAAATTTAAAGTTGATTTATATATATTATATGATTTTACTGGTGAATATGATATGCTACATGAAATTGAATAAAAAATTTAAAAATTAGTAAGCTATTTACTGACTCTTCTTAGAGTATGTTTGGTAGTGTGGTAGCGGTTGCTTTTCAAATAATTTTTTATGTCGAAATGCATGCTAATGATGTTTTTTTATTGTTAATGATATTTTTTTATTTTTTAAAAATTATTTTTAACATTAACATATTAAAACAATCCAAAACGCACAAATCATATTAAATTTTAATAAAAATAAAAAATAATTTTTTTTAAATTTTTAAAAAATACAAATTTAACCGCGTTCCCAAACCCTACCTTGCTCTCTCCAGTCTCCTCACTCCATCCCATATCTCACAAAAATTCCCCTTTTGTGAGGCTTGTAAGTACAAATAAATTATAACCCCCAACCTAAATTTTACCTCTTTCTCTTCTTATTTTCATTTTCTCTCCACAATCACCACCCAACCCTTCTCACCGTCATTACCCGTAGCCTTTCCTCTATCTCCCTACCATAAAACACCCCCCCTCTCTCAATTGAGATGTAGCTCTCTCTACTCAAGAGTCTCTCACCAAAGAATCGACCAACATTGTTATCAACTATCACCATTATCATTCACGTTCAATACTTAAGAGGTATATTACATACTTTGCCGTTATTGATTTAATATAATATGTGCTAATTGATGTTAATTGTTGATTTTAAAAACATTGGGTTTAGAGTTGGTGATTTATAGAAAAAAAATTGGGTTTTTGTGAACTACGTTTAAATTTGGTTTAAATTTGGTTAGGTAGTCATAAAATAGATTAATTTGAGTTGCTAATTTTGTTATTTTTAAAGAAAATCAATGGTCTTGGCTGATTTTTTATTGGAATCATAAGTATGGGTTATAAAAAAAAATTATTTAGATGTTAATTTTTTTTAGTTTTGACTTATTTTCTATACATATCATTTAAAGGTAAGTGAGTTATTTATAACTATTAGATACATATATAATCATTAAATACATATATAATCCATTCTAATTAACATTGATAATCATAATTGTGAAATTGATTTGTATAATTATATGATTTTACTAGTGAATATAATATGTTACATGAAATTGAATAAAAAAATTAAAAATTAGTAAGTTATTTACTAACTCTTTTTAGAGTATGTTTGGTAGTGTGGTAGCGGTTGCTTTTCAAATAATTTTTTATGTTGAAATGCATGTCAATGATGTTTTTTATTTTTAAAAAATTATTTTTAACATCAGCACATCAAAACGATCCAAAATATATAAATCATATTAAATTTTAATAAAAATAAAAAATAATTTTTTTTAAATTTTTAAAAAATACAAGTTTAACGCGTTCCCACACAGTGACTTGATCCTCTCCAGTCTCCTCACTCCATCCCATTTCTCACAAAAATTTCCCTTTCTTTCTCTCAAAAAATCATCTTCTTAGCAATAGTTGCAGCAAGAGCATGACCCAGCATCTTGCCCTTCTCTCTACCATCTTAACTCATAAAAATCCCAATATAGAAAGCTGTGCTCGGCTACTGGAAAGTGTAAGTGATGTTTTAATTCGTGATTTTTTGTTGTTGTTATTGTTGTTGTCCTTGATATTCTGGTTCAATTTCAATTCTTTTTGGTTCGGTTTAATTTGGTTGCAGGTGAAAGAAAAAAAGGGTTTTTGGGTTTGCAAATTAAATCATGTCAGATTCACTGCACTTCCCTTCCTGTAAACCTCGTGATCATGGTCCACACACTACATTTGGTTTGAGTTTCGATCCGGAGTATGTTTTTTTCTTCAATTTTGGTTTTCAATCCCGCTTTATTTTTGTTGTTAGATCATATCTCTTATTCTTCAAATATTCTGTGCATTTGAATAGGGGGATCCTATCTCTTTATTTTTGTTGAGTTCATTCTAGTAATTAAAGAAACAATCCAGACCACAACTGAAAAAATGTTGATTGATTAGAATATTGCTGTCGATTCTTGAATTGGGAATGATGAACAGGGGTTTGTATTTTGCAGATCAAAGGAAAAAATTCCATAAATTAGATAATTACTTTTAATTGCTTGAGTTTGATCCTTTGTTGAGAATGACTGGTGAAATTGTATTGATTTTTTTTTTTCTGATTTAGAATAGCTCAAATGTTCGTTTCTGGCATGGAAAAAAACTAAGTGTTGCATTCATACTGAATTTGTTTAACCTATAGAGGCTGTCATAAGCTTCTAGCGCCATTGGTCGGGAAAAGGCTTATGGAACAACCCTTTCTAGCATGCTTATCAATTATTTAAGGTTTATATCGTCCTAATCACCACATTGTATTTTTATTTGCAGGTTGAGTTATCTGTCATTGAGTTATAATTAGTTTGATCAGAACCTGCATATTTAGAAGAGAGGGAAGCTCACTTGAAAGCTCAGTACGGGAAACTTGATCCTAAAATTTAAAACTATTGGGAGATTTTGCTAGCAAATAACAAATCATTACTTATATAATTGGCAGTGACTAGCATAATTGAGCCTAGACAAGTGATGAAGTCGGGTTCAGCTGTTATTAAAATTTTGTTTTTAAGCCTAAATATTGTATGAGATATTGTCCTTAATCTCACACTTTGTTTGAGAATTTCAGTTTCAAGATTTGACAATAAAAAAAAACTTCGGACACGTGCTCCTCTCATGATGAATTGCATATTTGATTGCTCTACTTTATTATATACTGTAAAGTGTTGAATCATGTTTTATAATTACACTTTTTATTATTTCGTTGTAAAGATATATACAAGTTAATCTAAATATTTATATTAATAAAAAAATTTAAAAAATTATGGTTTTCTAACAAAAACCCATAGAAAAATGGCTATTTTTCGAAAGAAATGCAAATTATTCATGCTAGATTTGAATTTCGGAAGAAAAGTTTCAATAATGATAATATTTTACAGGGAAGTGCACTTCACATGCGTTTCGGCCGTGAGAACCCATATTTTTGTACAAAATATTTTTATATCAGTTTTTTTATATTAAAAATATTCATTTGACTTTAAAAAGAGATAGACTATTTATATTAAATTAAAATGTCAATCAACATTGTATTCTGTTATTATTAGCACGAGAGCTACACACATTGATGTTTAAAAATATAATTATAATTGTTTTTAAAAATATTTTTTGTTTGAAATTATATAAAATAATATTTTTTATTTTTTTAAAAAATTATTTTTTATATTAATATATTAAAATGATTTTAAAACATTAAACAAATTAATTTAAAATTAAAATATTTTTTTTAAAACATTAAACAAATTAATTTAAAATAAAAATAAATTTTTTTTATGAAAGACACTTTTAAAAAAAACTAAAACAAACAAGCCGTAAACCCTAAAATTCTAGTCAACAAATGTGGGTGATTTGTTTATTATTTTAATGATCAATTGGCATCAAGGAGATATCCTCTCGATCCTGCAACATTCTATTGGCAGGACGAAGTTTCGTGTTCAACTACACGGATTTATCAAAAGAATTCTGTGTCCCCTTCGTCAAAGATGAGATTCAGCACATGCCTTCTACCGCGTGCTTCCTTCCCTTGCTATATAATCCGAGCCATTTTCTCATCACTCCAAGCTCGCACACCACCCTCAGCATAGCTACCAAATGGCGATGCCAAAGCTAGAAGTCCCTCTTCTCTTCCTCTTCTTCTTCTTCTTCTTCTTGGCTCCTACACCCTCTCGAGCTGAAACTTTTGGGCCACCGCTTGTCAGCCCTATCCAGAAAGATGCCTCTACTCTTCAATACATCATCACAGCATACCTCCAAAGCCCTAAAGAAACAAAATTACTCCTGGACCTTGGAGCTAGTTACATCTGGATTAACTGTGATGACTACAATTCCTCCTCGTACAGACACATCCCATGCACCACCTTGCTGGATGAATTTGTGGGCTGCTTCGCTTGCTTGATGAACTGCAGGGACTCCAGTCCCAATTGTGGTGACAGTGTTTGCGTATTGAAACCCGAGAACCCCTTCCAGCCCAGCTTTTCTGGAAACGAGCAGTATGCCCCCGCCCTTGTTGACTATT